ATGTGAGTAACCAGTTGGGCATACAAAGCCCATTTATCAGTACCGAAGTAATATTAGATAAAAATCCATAATAAATTATGGAGACCATCAAATTAAAAGTTGGGGAATATACATTCATTCTAATAGCCAATAATAATTGGAAGAATGATAGATATTTCATTTGACCCGATAAAATGAAATATAGTTAAAACAGTCCGGAAAATACAACTTTCGGGGCCAAGTGTACACTTGGAGACTTAAAGGGATGACCTCCCACATAAGTGGGGGCCAACCCACGTTTTTAGTCTTGCAAATGTCAAGAGGAGCCGCACAAGAACATGGAGAAACAAGAAGAAAGTTGATTGGAAGACCAATCAATAAGAGTGTGGGACCTTGGCCAAAGTATTATTGTGAGAAATGCCAAAAAGGCATTCTCAATCACCCCAACTCATATAGCTCGGCCATACCACTTTCCAAGGGGAGAGAAGCTCTGCAAAACTCCATTGTTATCATCCATACACGCACCAAGAACAAGGGAGGAAGGAAGAAGGAAAAAGAGAAGAGAAAAGAGGAGTTTAGGTGGGAAAACTTGTGGTTAATAAGGTAATGACTTCATTAATCCCATTTCTTCTCTTTAATCATATTTCATGCTCCTAGAATAGTTCTACACATTGAATGCTGTGGAATGGGGTTTGAAGGGAAGTTCTAAGTCCAAGAACGGACTTAGAGAACAAAGTTGACGGGTTCGTCGGAAAATAACCTTTTAGAGGTTATTTGTGTTGATATGGGTTTTATGATGATAAAACCTTGTTATTAACTTGTATAAGGTATTCCAAGAACTCTCACAGAGTTGAAAGGGTCGCCGGAGTTGTCGCCGGAGTTCGTTGAAGTTCGCCAGAGTTTCGCCGGAGCTCAATAAGAAAGGCTACAACTTCATAAGCTTCATTTAAGGTGAGAAGACGGCTATATGCTTTATAACTTTTGCGTGAGGCATGAGATTACCTAAATTAATCAAGAATATGTTTTATGAATTGATTAATGATATTAAAGTATGTGCTATGTTATGTTAAAGAATATAACATAGTTGGAAAGCATGATTTGTAGGTTTGATTAGTGAAATTATTATAAATTGATATGTATGATGTTCCAAGGACCCAAATAGGTATTTTTTGATTAAGGATGTCAAAGAGTACATGCATGTAAAATTTCACGTTAATCGGACTTCGTTTGGGCGGTCAAACGGGCGTTAACCGCCAAGTCAACTGTTATACTCGACCGGGTATTGTCAAATACCCGACCGGATATTTACTGAAAATTTGCCCCGGGGGCTACTACCTCCTATACCCGACCGGGTATAGGTAGGTACTCGACCGGGTATTGGGTTCACACCCAAACGGTCGGTTTTGAATGAGCATAACGTGAGGCGTTCGGGTGAGAACTGTCCACGTTGATTATTAAGGATTATTATGTGACTATAGGGCTAGGTATTGTCCATAGTTAAAGGAATGAAAGGTTAGCCATATCCAGGTTAGGGTTTGGTAAGGAATAAGGTTGAGTATCCTCGGGACGATAAATGATCCTGAAACTCGGTTGAGGTTGAGTATCCTCGGGACGGTAAATGATCCTGAAACTCGGTTGAGGTTGAGTATCCTCGGGACGGTAAATGATCCTAAAACTCGGTTGGGGTTGAGTATCCCCGGGAAGGTAAATGATCCTGAAACTCGATTGGGGTTGAGCATCCCCGAGACGGTAAATGATCCCAAAACTCGGTAGGATATTATGAATGTAGAACGTAGCTTGTGAGCTAGGCATTCGGGAATAGATGGGAAAGGCCGGGTAAGTACCTTATCTCTAAAAGTCTCTTTAAATGAAAATGACCCACAGGTCGAGTATTTTACAAGTATATACGGTATGTATCATCTTGTGGATCGGGTAACGATGGTTACACTTATAAATATATGTATTACCCTATTTTTGGGTCTCGTGTCTGAAACATTAGTTATTCCTCATATAGCCTGCCTGTCACTAGTACTTCTATGGAGTACTGACCCCTTCGGGGGCCCTCACATTTTTTTCCAGGTTAAGGCTAGAGTCCTATTACCTGCACCTTTGCCTAGGGTGATTGATCAAGAAAGAAGACGTGGTTCGTGCTTCCATTCTTATTTAAAATTTATAAACTGCTCATGGATATTTTTAAACAATGTTTTCTATTAAAACATTTGGGGGCCTGCGTGCCCGTGTTTGCCACATGTGGCTAAGTATCAAACATACTATTTCCGCATTTGTTTGATTATGATATTGATGTTGATTGTATGTGTTTACTAATCGGTTTGGCAATAGAATCTATCGGACGCCTTGTATAATTCAATAGGAATGGACTATTGTTATTCTTATTGGGTTGTATGGCGGTTGTCTACGTGGCACGGATGCGGTCCGGGGCGTGACAATTAAATGGTATCAGAGCCATCGATTTCTAAACTATATAATTGCCCGTATTGATGCATCGTATTATTGTTTCTTATTGTTGAATCATGTTTCTTATTGTTGCATCGTATTATTTATTGTTTCACCGTGTTCATTATTGTTATTTGTTTGTTTATTTTAATATTTTTTGTTCCTTTAGGTTTCTGTTTATCATTCCTACTTCTTTGGAATGGAAATCAACATATAGATATATTTAAAAACTCTTAAAATGATATATTTGGATTTATAAATATCAATAGTTACAAAAAATAATGAGAAACAGTAAAAACAAAATTTTCAAAGTGATCAACAAAAAGAAACACAAAGAAAGCATGTGAAACAAAAAAGAAACAATAAAATGATAATTAAAATATTTATCTATTTATAAAGTGTGAAGTTACAAAATCCATATACTATGTATTTTCATTTTTCCATTTTTTATTTTTCACATTTTTCATTTTCTAGTTTTTGATTTTTAAATGTTTTTAGTTTTCAGTTAATTCTATGGTTTTTATAATATTAGAAAACATTGTTTTGACTTTATTCTATTTGATTTTTTAATGAAAAAATATTTTTTACTTTGTATTTATAAATTTTCTACGCTCTTAAACTTTTTTGATTTTTTCAGATTTAAGTTTCTATTTTAATTTTTCAAATTTAAGTCACGAGTTTTCAATTTTGATACTTTAACCATTTGTTGAATTTTGTATTTTGGTCTTAATTTTTTCCTTTTCTTTTTAAAATTTATTATTACTTTTTAGAATTGTATTATTTCTCTAATTGCTTTAATCTTTTTTACCTTTTATTAGATTTGTTCATATTTATTTTGCAGTTAAAAATTGAGTAGTTTTCCAGCAATTTCTATTCATTTATTGATGATTAACGACTTCTTTCATTTAATGAAACGTATCACTCAAGAGAGTAGCTAAAAAAATTGAGTGGTTCCAGTACTATTTGAGTATTTGAGACTTGAAAATCAACCTACGTTAATTAATTAGAAACCCGGTCAATAGGTGGACTATTTTTGAAAAGAAACACTTAGGTAGTCCATTTTTGAAAAAAGTTTTGAAAGATGAAAAAGATGATATTATTTTCAATTTCAGCTCATTTGTGAAAAATTCCCAAGATAAAATGAGGAATCATTCAATGTAAAACGTTGCTAGTATCTATTTTACCAAACAATGATTTTAGTTGATAAATAAATAAAATAATCTAAAAGTGGTAAAACAAGCTAAAAATGTTAAGTTCTGATCTGATCTGAATCTTTCTGATCTGGTCTGATCTGATCTGAATCCTTCTGATCCGATCTGAATCCTTCTGATCTGATCTGATCTGAATATTTCCTTAATTATAATTATAATTATTATAATTATAAATATTAATATCATTTAAATATAATTTATAATTATAGTCATAATTCTAAAAAATTATAATTATAATTATAATTAAAGTTATAAAAAATTATACCTACTACACTAATTATAATTATAGCTATAAATCCTATAATTATAATTGTAATTATATTTTAAATTATAATTATTTTTGTAATTATAAATGTGATTATAATATTATTTCTATAATAATAATTATAATTATAATCGTAATTATAATTATAATTCCTCTGTATAATAATAAAAATAAATAATAATAATAATAACAATAATATTTATAAAAATAATAACAATAATAAAAATAGTAATAATAAAGCTAATAAAAATAATAATTATAATAGTAAAAATAGTAATGGTAATAGTAATAATAGCAATAATAGCAATAATAATAATAACAACAACAACAATAACAACGACAATAATAATAATAATAGCAATAATAATAATAATAATAATAATAATCACCACCTCAAATTTAATCATAATATTAATAATAATAGTAATATAATAATAATAATAATTATAATAATTATTATTATATTATTATTATTATAATTATTAAAATAATAATGATAATAATAATAATAATAATTATTATTTTTATTTTATAATAATAAAAGTGATAAATCGTGTTTGAAATTTTGTGATCTGATCTGATCTGAATCTTTCTGATCTGATCTGATCTGAATTTTTCTGATATGATTTGATCTGATCTGAATTTTTGTAATCTGATTTGATCTGATCTAAATAAAATAAGAATAAGAAATAAGTAATAAGAATAAGAGCCCGTTTGGTAGCACCAAAATCGGCTGTTTTGTCTGATTCTGCTGAAATTTATGATATTCTGGCTGGAGTGGCTGTTTTGGCTGATTCTGCTGATTTAAGAAAAAAATATTTTAAAAATATATTTTATTAATAAATTAAAGAAAAAATTATATATAAAAATAGCTAAAATGGTCCTCTACAGTAACTTCAGCCAATACAGCCAGAAAAGTAACTCCAACCTTACTTTTTCGGCTTATTACACAATTCAGCGCGCGAAAGTAAAAGTTACGTGTTTGGTGAAAAAGCTGGCTGATAAGCCTGATAAGCCGAAAACAGAGTTCTCCAAACGGGCTCTAAGACTAACCGGCCAATCCATTTCCAATTCGAACACTCGCGCGTGAGGTCTGTTGGCGTGAAAGTCCTATGGAGGAGGTCCACCATTTCTCAACCGTCCCCCTCTCTCTGCAGGAGAAGACAGTAACATTCTGCACCCATATATCGTACCCGTCGCTATCAGCAGCTACCCCGCCCATCCCCGCCCGCGCCCGCACCCGCACCCATAGAAATGCTTTTTTGTTTTGTTTTTATTAAGAAAAGACCCGTGCAATTCATCCATCTCAAGCTCTACAGTCAAATTAATTTATGCAGAGTGTTGAAGTCCTGTTTAGATCTACTAGGCCTTCATTCTATGTAGAGAGATGAATCTTCAATCGGGCAAGAGAAAATTGACTGCTCGAGAGTTTAAGGAACTTGTGACATCACAGGCAAGGAGAGTGAGGGCCAAAGGTAAACCTCTTTTCTCCTTACTATACGTTTTTTGTGAATTTGCAGCTAAGACATTAACCTGCTTTGTGATGTATCTATCAGATGATATGCAAACAAAGTCTCTATCGGTTCACAACTTTGACGATCACACACAAGAACTAACCTCTACCTGCGATTCACAAGTAACTCTACCTATTTCGTGCCTCTCTTGTTTCATGCTTCATATTTCCACTAAATACATAACACATACTTCTATGGTGTATGACACTTTATATGATCAGTGGCGAAATGTATGCAACTGAATCACATAACACGTCATTTTGGTGCTGCATTTCTGGTTTTGGCGTTGTCCTTCGATATAGGTGCTCATGTCAAAGCTATTCTGACTATTTGGTGTGATGTTTTACATTATTTTAGTGTTAAAAAGAGTGAGAGATAATGGAGTAAAGTAGACTGTAGTGTTTAAAGCTATACGTAGTATTGACATTTAGAAGAGTAACCAAAACAAGTTTATGCAACCTTCACTGAGTGCCTTCTAAATCACATGGGCGAAATACCTATCCTCTAGCACTAGCGGTTGGGATGAATAATGAATTCTACCTATGGCTATCACATGTCCAACCCCTTTAGTACCAAGTCAGTCAATATCCTTATTTGCTATCTTACTCTTTAAAGTAAGCTTATTTACTATCTTACACGTAGCTCGCTATTGTTTATTACATTTCCTTTCTTTAATAACACATTCAGAAGCAGCTTTTATTGAGAACATCAATCATCTTTTATAACTTATGGGAATATTGAAGCATCTTTTCTGCCTGTTGTGATGCGCAGCACAGGAATTCCAAAGAGGATAATAATGGGACTGAAGGTGAAGAAAGCAAATGTCTCATATGCTCTAATGGGGGAAGGCTCTTGTAAGTTCCTATGCACCGTTTTCTCTGATAACTCGACACTGTAATTTGAAACACAAAGTTTCAAGATACTAAAACACAACGAGATTCAGTATATGGACTTTATGGAGTATCTTGACATTCACTGTTATTCGAGATTTTACTGTACTGCTATTTTCTACTCATAGGTTATGTTTTTGCATCCTAAGAACATCGAAACTACTTCTTGAAGTGTGACTGCAATTCAGATTGCAGTAGATATAACCGTCGGGGCACACTGAAGCTATACAAATGAGATTTTGAAAGGTCTAATTTATTTATTTTCCAGATGTTGTGCTGGAAAAGGATGCAGGAGGAACTTCCACCCGTGTTGTGTGGACCCCCCCCTAAAATATTTCCCTCTTGGAACGTGGTATTGTATTTCTTGTGTGAAAAAGAAGGTGGAATTAGGTGTGTATGCTGTATCTGAAGGAGTGGAGTCTGTTTTTGATTGCAGAGACAATAATTATGATAATGAAGGTACACATATGTTTCTATTAATGAGAGTTGGCTTTTTTTTTTTTGGTAAAATATTCACCATGCGTTGTTATAATTGTAACATGGGAACATGGTGTCAGTTACACATAAGCAGAAGAAAGTTGAGAAGGAATATTTAGTAAAGTACAAGGGCCTTGCTCATATTCATAACCGCTGGATCCCAGAGAGGGTTTTGATTCTTGAGGCTCCAACAATGCTTGCACAGTTCAAGAAATTCAATAAGGTGATTATAACCTGTCAACAAATCCCCACTACCAGATGGTTTTATTAATGAGCCATTTGTGTGATGCTTTCTTCAGAAGGTGAGTTGGAAAAAGGATTGGACTATGCCTCATCGTTTGCTTGAGAAAAGGTTGTTGCTATTACCCGGGGCTAGTGAAACGAATTCTCTGTGGCATAATGGTGATGGTTCTGATTCTCATTATGAGTGGCTTGTGAAATGGATGGGCCTTGACTATGACCAAGCTACTTGGGAATTAGAGACTGCTTCGTGTTTAAACTCCCCTGTTGCATTAAAAATGATCAGTGACTATGAGCGTCTTCGTAAAAAGCCAAACCTGGATGTATGTCCAGAAAATAATGACAAGGTATTTCTAGCTCTTTGAGGGCGTCCGCTAACATGCGAATTAACTATTTTGCATGTGAAATGTGGTAAGTAAAAAGTTTAAGTCATATGGTTTGAGTATATTATGTAAATTTAGGATATATTTTTAAACATTTCATATGGTACCATGTAAAATATTTTACGTGGTAGGAGAGTGATAAAATATTTTGCATGCTTTTTATATAGCACAACGTTGACTTTGCATGTAATTAAAAATTAGATCACACACCTAACAAAACAATGTAATTTTATTTTTTATGCAAAGTGATGCAATCACTTTGCATCCAAAGTTGAAATATGAAAACTATCAAAAGAGCCCAATATTTTCATTGTTGAATGCGTTAGGGATATATAATGTGGGAAACTTTCTCACTCCATTCCGTAAAAGCCAGTGTCGACTAGTTGAGAGAAGCAAGGAATTTTATTTTTCATGACTAATATTTTATTGATTGATGATCGTTTTTTTCCCTGCTGTTATTTCAGGGTAGTAAAACACCTTTTCCTGAGCTTTTAATAGCACCATTTGAATGTGCATCTCAAGTGCACATTAGTAATTTCATTTATGTGAACAAACTTATCCGATATTGGCAGACAAGAGAAAATGCAGTTGCTATTGACAACCAGGTTAATGATTTAACGTTCCTTTTCAAGTTTGCCTGAATTTTGGTTTTTTACCTCTGTTACATGTTTTGATGGACCGATGAGAGTAAACCTAAATTGCATGAGGGTGAAGGTGATAAAATTGTCATCTCAATCATTGTTATTATTATTATTATTACTATTATTATATTTTTTTTACTGCATCTGAAAATATAATACTCCCTCCGGTTTTTAATAAACTTCACACTTTCCTTTTTGGGACGGTCTAAAATAAACTTCACACTTCCTTATTTCCTTTTTTGGCAAAGAAATCTACATCAAAACAGTGCCAAACAGTGTCTCAACAGTGCCAAACAGTGTCTCTACAGTGCCAAACAGTGTCAAACAGTGCCTCAACAGTGTACTCTACAGTAAAGTCAAATTTCTTTCCTTATTTTGTGTGAAGTCAAAGTGTGAAGATTAAATAAAACCGGAGGGAGTAATAAAGAGTAGAGCAAACTACAAAAAACTACCGAATAAAACTCTACAAAAAGCTCCACTACTTAAGGACATAATATAACAATAAAGGACGCCTGCCTGGCTGCACAGTAACACCACTGTGCTACTACAACTACTATCTCCCGTGGCACAGGTAGCAGAGCTTAAGTGTAGCACTGCCACTGACAGCGGCGCTGGACAGTGGGACCCTAGTCATTAGCTGTGCCAGACAGCAGTGGCACCATTAGTAAATAAAGTTTGGAAGGGAAAACCCCGCGGTGTAAAACAACATAAGTTCAATTTTAGATGATGGCTCTTGTCTTCCACACAAATAAGGCGTCTCACAACTACCGCTATTTCACATCCGTTTCAGAAAGATAGAAAAATCCTCCGTCATACTTCAAAAACCGAAGTTGAAAAAAAGTTTTGAAGGCTTTGTATTTTACTTCTCCAAAAGATCACTGTAGCTGAAGCCGAAGCTGTGTTCTCCGCCACAGAGCCTGCAGAAAAAAACTTGCATACTCAAAACTGGCAGCGGATCCAATGTTAATGAATATTCAGGCAACCTTCACGGTGGTTTCTGATAAAAAATCTGCCTAGCTGTGAATTCTCACACGCTGACGGGTGCGATGGATCTGAAAACTGACGGCTGTGCGTGCGGCTGATGCGTGGTAATTTGCCAATGTGGATTTCAATGGCGTGGTCGCTGGCGGCAGGCGCACCTGGTCAGGACGAAGGTGAGAGGTTCTGACTAAGTTCTGAATGAGGTTCTGACTAAGGTTGGAGGTTCTGGACTCTAAAAATTAGACTGGAATGTAATCGCTCTAATACTATGTTGAAACATAAAGTATAAACTAGGAATACTATTGGAGATGAAAAGATTTTCTGTGTATTTCAATAGAGGGTTAAGTCTCTATAAATGTACATTACAAATAGAATATTCCTATATAAGATTCTATACATTATAGGAATATTATATTCCTATAATATTCCAAAGCATATTCTAATATCTTTCACAATGGGTTTCAGACTGAGAATATGAAGTGCAAGTTTAGTGAAGGTAGAAATATTGGTATTAGTGAAATTAGAGGGTTAAGTCTCTATAAATGTACATTACAAATAGAATATTCCTATATAAGATTCTATATTAGTGAAATTATATTAGATGGTAAGGAGGTACCAGTGAGTGATATGTCCCGTTACTTGGGTGTCAAGTATCTAGCTAATTCACAATGAATTTCAAGAAACAAGATGAAGAACAGTGATGTGCGTACAACTGAAAGGGGTTGTATTACGGAAAATAGAGAGAGAAATACAAAGGCAGTTAAAGAGTGCCAACTCTCCAAGTCCCAGGCCCAAATGATAATTCCCAACCTCCCTTCTTTTCTACCCTCAACATCTATTTATACCAACTCTAATAGTGTTCTTATTTCTTATTATTCTATGTGGGTCCCTTTCCCTATCATTACTCCCTCTTTGACAACCACCTTGTCCTCAAGGTGGGTGATAGGAGACAGTCCTGAAGAACATCTTCTTCTTCATCTTGGCGCCTGAACTTCATGAGCTGAACCATTGCTATCACTTTTTCCATTGCAAGCACCTGAGGCAAGGGCATGGTTACATGATGCTTCACTAAAACCTGGCCAGCACCAAGTGCTATAACCCCTACAAAGTCATTCTCATGGGCCAGGCCATCTATAATTGCAGGAAGAACCGGTGAGGCTTTGTTTTGTATGCTATCCGAAACAACCTCCAATATAATATAGATTCTTCCTGAATGAGTAGCAACCACAATCACACCCCTCCCACCATTTCTGAAAACTGATATAGGGGCCATGTGGATCTGCTCTATACCTTCAATATCTCTAGCCTCAGTATCTATAGCCTCCAAATATTTTTCTAGGAGAAAACTGTTCCCTCTTGTTTGCTTCAAACAATTCTGATTTGCACGTGAGCAGTGTTCCAAACAGCCCTCGAGAGAAACATTCCTGAATTCTCTTTGCTTCCCTAGCTGGATCTGCATCCAACTTTCTTAGCTCAATTGAGGAGAAAGAAGCCTTAAAGATTTTTCCAAACAAGTAGGGCTCCATTTCTATATTTCCAACATCATTAACTAGCTTGGATTCCATTAAAATTCCACAACTGGAACAGTTCACTTCTGGATCATTGAAGCATAAGATCATTTTATAAGGTTGAAAATTTACTTCAGCTTCCATTTCATTAACAATTTCTGGTTTTACAGATAAATCCCTGAGTTGTTGATAAGTTCTGGACCAATCTATCAATATTTCGAGCTAAAAGAAGAATCAATAATGGAAGAACAATCACATAGAAAGTTTATTCACGTAACAGAAATGAAGGTAGACAATTACAAGTCGTTACAAGAGTTCAAGTCCCAGTCCCAACTCCCAAACTAGTTCCAACCTCCCAAACTAATCATAAGGACATCTATTTATAATATCCCAGCCGACTCCCAATTATCATAGATCCTTATTTACTATTTCCTTTCCCTTTTCTAGTGTAGACTTTATCATAAAAAGTCACGCCATCCCTCAAATTAGACTGCTGCTTCCCTAGATCCTTATCATTACTCCCCGCCTGAACTACCACCTTGTCCTCAAGGTGGAAATCAGGGAACTGATCTTGAAACTTTTGCAGTCCTTCCCAGGAATCTTCAAAATCTGGAAGATGTTTCCAGTGCACCAAAATCTCTGTTTGTCCTTCTGCATTGACTCTACTGTCCAACACTTTCTCTGGATAAACCTGTAGTTCCCAGTCCTCAATTATACATTTTGGTAGAGGTTGGAAAGGAGTGTTGGTCGTCAGACTTTTCTTCAGTAGAGATGAATGAAACACAGGATGAATAACACACCCTTCTGGTAATTTTAACTTGTATGCTACTGGATTAATTTTGTCAATCACCTCAAACGGTCCATAATATCTAGGACTGAGCTTCTGATTAATCCTTTTCGCCAGACTTTTTAACTTGTAAGGTTGAATCTTGAGATATACCCAGTCTCCAATATCCAACTGAACTTCTCTTCTCTTTTGTCAGCTTGTTGTTTCATTCTGTTCTGGGCGGTAGCTAGGGTACTCTTCAACTCTTCAATCATTAGCTAGGGTACTCTTCAACTCTTCAATCATGCTATTTCTTTCCGCTGTCAGCTTGGTTATTTCATCATTAGCAGTCAAAGTAGCATCTCCCCTGATCAACACTGGAGGTTCCTGTCCATAAAGAGCCTTATATGGAGTGTTTTTCAGTGATACATGATAGTTGGTATTATACCAAAATTCTGCCCAGGGTAACCATTTAGGCCAGCACTTAGGTTTATTGCCTGTCATACACCTTAGGTTTCCACACACCTGTTAACCACTTCGGTTTGCCCATCAGTTTGGGGGTGGTATGCAATACTATATTTCAATTTTGTTCCAGCCATCTTGAATAATTCTGTCCAAAAAGAACTCAGAAACACACTGTCCCTATCAGATACAATGGTTTTGGGAAAACCATGTAGTCTAACCACTTCCTGAATGAAGACTTCTGCTACTCCTTTAGCATTATATGGGTGTGACAATGCTATAAAATGTGCAAATTTCGTCAACCTATCAACCACCACAAAGATAGAGTATCTTTTCCAAAAGCTTTAGGAAGTCCCCCGATAAAGTCCATACTAATGTCAGTCCATATTTGTGAAGGAATAGGTAGAGGTTGCATTAATCCGGCAGGATTCAGTGTTTGATATTTATTTCTCTGGCACACATCACATTGTTGCACATAGTTCCTTATGTCAGTCCTCATTCCAGCCCAAAAGAACAAAGAAGAAATCCTCTTCATGGTCTTGAAATTCCCAGCATGCCCACCTACTGCAGATTCATGAAATTCCTTAAGAATATTTGGTATCCTATTAGAGTTTCTAGGAATCACCAATCTTTCTTTGTAGTATAAAAGACCTTTCCGGATTTTAAAATCAGCTACAGACTCAGGCTGTCCCCACAGTTGTTGTATAATGCTTTTATATTTGTCATCTTCCAGTAGTTCAGTTTCCAGCCCCTCCCACTCTTGGCAAGTGACTACAGATAAAGAATAGCAAGACCCCTTCCTTGAGAGTGCATCTGCTGCCTTATTTTCTATTCCCGGTTTATATTTGATGACAAAGTTGTATCCCAACAATTTGGTTACCCATTTTTGTTGGTCCTCTCCTAATATTCTTTGTTCTGTCAGAAATCTCAGACTTTTCTGATCTGTATGCACTTCAAACCTTCTGCCCAGCAAGTAATGTCTCCACTTTTGGATGGCTAGAACAATGGCCATGAGTTCTCTTTCGTATACAGACTTGTTCTGATTTCTTGGAGATAAACTTTTACTCATAAAAGCTACAGGTCTCCCCTCTTGCATCAGAACAGCTCCTACTCCTTTACCAGACGCATCTGCTTCTACCACAAAGATCTTGTTAAAATCTGGTATTTGTAGGACTGGAAGTTGAGTCATAGCCTGTTTTAATTCTTCAAACGCATCTCTGGCATTTTAATTCCATTGGAATCCATCT